AAAAAAAAAAAAAACCCAAATCCATTGCCGTCAAGCCGATTTCCGACTCATAGTGACCCTATCGGACAGAGCAGAACTGCCCCATAGGGTTTCCAAGGAGTGCCTGGTGGATTCGAACTGCTGACCTTTTGGTTAGCAGTCAAGCTCTTAACCACTACGCCACCAGGGTTCCGTGACGGCCACAGAAGATAGAAAGAAGTAGAGGTCCTGAACAAGAATTAGAAATAACTAGGAGGAAGAGAAATAGTCCAGTGTAGGGTGAGAATGTAATACATTCTTATTTTAAGTTGAATAAAAGCATATTTAAGTACAGCAACCAAACAAGTTAATCTCAAATTCCACTAGATTTTTTTCCTAGTATGTATTAAACATTGTTTATATATACTAGGAAACGTGAAAAGTTGCATATCAAATGTGAAAGGGTCTTGTTCTTCATTTTAGTGGAAATTTTTACAACTGTATTTTCATTCCAAATTCTTTATTTGTAAAATTCCTACCCTCTCAGACTAAATAGAAGATTAAAATACACTTACTTGCACCAAGAATGAGCAAGCCAATTTAAACCATTCAGTTGATAATCTCTTAATTCTAAACCCTCATGTCCTCCAATATAGGGTGGTTGCTTCTTCAGGGCTACAAACCTTGGCCTTTGTTTTAATACCTTTAGTAGAAATAAATATTAATATGCAGAATTATTAAACATAAGAAATGATCTTAAGAGATGGAAACAGCTTTAACCATAAATTTAGAAATTTTCAACTCAAATCATCAACCTCAGAGATTCAATGACTGAGAATCCAGTCAAAAAAGACTGTTTTCTATAAATGTAATAAGAATGTAGAAGAAAATATTTTGCCTTCTCTATTTGGACAAAAAAAAGAAGCTACAGGTAACTAAGTTACTGCTGAAATACTTGGGTCCCTCAGATATCTTACCACCACACAAACAAAAGATACATTAAATTCATTCATAACCACTGACCTGGAAATAAAACCATAAAACTGGCTTAGCTTTCCATTCAATTCTGATTTCTATATTACCATATGAATTTAATCCAATCTTGTAATAAGAAAAGAAATTCTAGTAGCACACAGATCCCAAAACTATCCTGGTAAAAACTTTGTATTAGGCAGGGCAGTATGGATACTTACTTATGGATTGATTCCTCTTCTCCTTTCCTATTTTCAAAGAAATATCAACTACCTTTTAAACCAAGTTTATACGTCTAGTTTCCAAGGTATTTTCACTATTTTGTCTCCCCATACTACTCCCCACCACCACCACCACCACCACCTACTTATCTTTCTGACCTAATTCCAATCGCCAAGGCCAAAAGACAGTGCCACACTTAAGAATAATCACATAGCAATTACAGGAACATCATTTCCTGTCAAGCAGTACTCTCCCTTAGCCTATCTGAAATAAGGCCCCAAACTCTCTATTTGGGCTTATAATATTTATGATGCATAAATACACTTTCAATAATTAAAAATGTCATATACTCACTTTACAGTCTTTAAAAGGAGTGGTTTTTGATTGATTTCTGCTAAAATACTCATCTATACATGTTTGAAACTTTTTGGAAATGAGAGCTCCATCTTCCCAGCTGCACTCTGAGTATGGAAGGCCCTGCCATTTGCAATAATAATCAGGATAACCAGCCGCTGACTTTTGATTGGAATGAGCTGTAAGATAAATTGGGTACTTATTTCACTTCTTTTACATATAATCTTATCAGAGAAATAATTCTTAAAGGTTAAACAGGTAAAAATTATCATCTAATTTACAATACTCTAGTAAGAGGAAGCTACTGATTTGATGTGTAAGCAATAAATTTATGATTTTTTCACATGATTTCAAGAATAAAATAGTAAAAGTTGGATCGTTTCTTACTAACCAATTATTCGCTCTACTATTTGATACTGTTTGTGTAGATCATCTGTAAGTTCTTGCTGGCAATTATAATATTCCACGTCTTCTGGAGAAGCATTTTTTAACCTGAAAGATTATACTCATTAATTAAGACTTCAAAATCGCCTCTAAATCACTCATCCCCTAAAACACTATTTGTAGCACAAAATCTCCCATTCTGCCACTTACTGTGTGAGCCAAGTTTGAACAATAAAGAAATTGAAACAGAAGTAAAAGTAAAACATCATTAATATTTAACTCAAAAATTTTAATTTATAATCTATAAGACACATTCTACAAAAATGTTATCAAGAAGAGGTTTACATATGCTACCCCTAAGAGTTTTAATGTGAGGTGAGATAGAACAGTCAGATCAATAAATAACTGCATTAGGCTATCATCTGAATCTTGAGTATGTATTTATTAGCAAAAAAAAAAAAAAAAGCTTACTAAGGCATACAGCATAGTTACCATCTTTTTGTTTCCTGATCTTTTTTCTTATAATTATCTAATTTTTTCATTCCTCTAACATTCTGCTGCTTAAGGGTTTCTTCTGTCTCCCAAGTATTATGGATATGGGACCATCCTTTCCATTTAATTAAATACTGGATTTCTCCTGGTTCCTTGTTTTTTTCAAATCCTGCATTTGGGTCACCATCTGCTTCAACTGCATAGATGGTTGTGGTAGCACCAGTAGCTGAAAACAAAGCACAAGACCTTCCATGTAATTCTGTTATAGGATTATTTCCTTAAAGCAGAAAAATTAAGTACATAAATATCAGGGTAACAAGAATTTATGGAAAATTTACACATATATAAAAGAAACTCCGCTTTGAAAAACTTTAAAATCAGACATTTAGAACTGCAAAGACTTTAATAAATTATCTAATTTGATCTCCTCAGTATTAAAATTAGGAAAAACCAAAGCTAAAAGACAGCAGCAGTACATCTAGGCAAATAGAAAAATGACAGAACATTACAAAAACTGGTGTTTGAGAAATCAGACTGGAAATAAAATAATAAAAAATCATCCTTAAAAACAGACTGGATCAAATCTAGGAAGATAAGGGTAAATTTCAAGGTAACAACAAAGAAAGTTAATACACCTACTCATCAAAATAAAGCAGAAAAACACGAAGTCTCAGTAAAAAAAAAAAAAATCTACAAAAACAAAAGAAACAAAAAAAAAAAACCCACAAACAAAAGGAATTCAGCAGAGGACAGTAAGAGGAACAAAGAAATCGTGAGCACCACAACATGACAGCAAAAAACTCACACCTATCAATAATTACACTGAATGTAAATGGCCTAAATGTACCCAGAAAGAGACAGAGTGACAGAATGGACTAAAAAAAACAGAATACATCAATATGCTGTCCAGAAGAGATAGATCTTACAAGCAAAGACATAAATTAAAAATCAAAGGATGGAAAAAAATATATCAAGCAAACAGCCACCAAAAAAGAGCAGGAGTGGTAACACTAATTTCAGAAAAAATAGACTTTAAAACAAAATCCACCATAAAAGACAAAGAAAGACACTATATCATGATTAAAGGGACGATCCATCATGAAGACTAAACCATAATAAACATCTAAACATCTACGCACCCAATGACAGGGGTCCAAAATATATAAAACAAACTTTAACAGCACTGAAAAGAGAAACTGACAGGTAGAAGGTTTCAAAACACCACTCTCGGGGTAAAGAACAGAACCTCTGGAAAGAAACTCAACAAAGATACAGAAGATGTAAAGGCCACAGTCAGCCAACTTGAACTCACAGACATATATAGAACACTCCATCCAACAGCTGCAAAGTACACATCTTTTCCAACGCACATGGAACCCTCTCCAGAATAGACCACGTCTTAGGCCACAAAGCAACCCTCAACAAAATCCAAAACACTGAAATAATACAAAGTATCTTCTTTGATCACAACACCATCAAAGTAGAAATTAACAACAGGAAGAACAAGGAAAAAAAAAATCAATTACATGGAAACTAAATACCACCCTGCTTAAAAACCACTGGGTAACAGAAGAAATCCAAGATGGAATACAAAAATTCCTAGAATCAAATAAGAATGAAAACACATCACACCAAAACTGGGACACAGCAAAGGCAGTGCTCAGAGGTCAGTTTACAGCAATAGATGCACACATCAAAAAAGAAGGGACAAAAACAAAACGTTAGCTACACAACTTGAACAAACAAAGAGAACAGCAAAAGAAGCCTACAGCCACCAGAAGAAAGGAAATAACAAAGATCAAAGCAGAAATAAATGAAATAGAGAACAAAAAAAAAAATAGAATCACGAAAACCTAAAGTTGGTTCTTTAAAAGGATCAACAAAATCGACAAACCACTGGCCAAACTGACAAAAGAAAAACAGGAGAGGATGCAAATAACCCAAATAAAAAATGAAATGGGGGACACTGCAATAGACCCAACTGAAATAAAAAGATCGTAACAGTATTATGAAAAACTATATTCCAACAAATTTGAAAATCTAGAGGAAATGGACAAATTCCTAGAAACACACTACCTAACCAAACTACCACAAATTGATGTTGAAAATCTGAACAGACTCATAACACGAGAAGAGACTGAAAAGGTAATAAAAACTCCCAACAAAAAAACGCCCTGGCCAACATTTGTAGTAACTGTCAAATGGGAGACTATTTTGTCCTGTAAGCCTTCATCTTAAGTGAGAATAACAGCATAATTAGAAGAGCGTAGTCAATGTCACTTAAATGTATATGTAAAAACAAAATTTTTGAAATGGCGTATCTTTGGCTATGTGTATTTTCACCAAAAAAAAAAAAAAAAAAAAAGGTTGAGTATTTAGAGGGTTGAAATGTTGTGGGGTTGTTAACCAATGTCATAAAACAGCATGTGTGTTACTGTTACATGAGAAACTATCTGTTCTGTAAGCCTTCACCTGAAGTACAATAAAATATTAAAAAAAAAAAAAGAGAAAGTAAAAAAAAAAAACGCCCTGGCCCAGATGGCTTCACTGGAGAAGTCTACCCAACATTCACAGAAGAGCTTACACCAGGTACTACTCAAACTGTTTCAGAACACAGAAAAGGAAGGGATACTTCCAAATTCATTCTATGATGCCAGCATAAACCTGATACCAAAACCAAGCAAAGACTCCACAAAAAAAGAAAATTACAGACTAATATCTCTCATAAATATAGATGCAAAAATTCTCAACAAAATTCTAGCCAATAGACTTCTCCATCATATCAATAATACACCATGACCAAGCAGAATTCATACCAGGTATTCAAGGATGGTTCAACATTAGAAAATCAATCAAAAAAATCCACCACATAAATAAAAGGAAAGAAAAGAATCACACGATCATCTCAATTGACACAGAAAAGGCATCTGACAAAGTCCAACAGCCATTCCTGATAAAAACTCTCAAGAAAACAGGTACAGAAGGGAAATGTCACAACATAATAAGGGGCATCTATGTAAAACCAACAGCCAACATCATTCTTAATGGAGGCTGAAAACATATCCCTTGAGAACAGGAACAAAACAAGGATGCCCTTTATCACCACTCCTATTTAACACTGTGCTGGAAGCCCTAGCTAGAGTAATAAGGCAAGAACAGGAAATAAAGGGCACACAAATTGGTAATGAAGAAGTTAAACTGTCCCTATATGTGGATGATCTGATACTATACATAGAAAACTCAAAAGACTCCACGAGAAAACTACTGGAATAGAAAGATTCAGCAGAGTACCAGGATACAAGATAAAGATACAAAAATCTGCTGGATTCCTATACAGCAATAAAGAGAACAAAAAAAAAAGGAAGTCAGAAAAACAATACCATTTAAAATAGCTGCCCAAAAATAAAATACTTAGGAATAAATCTAACCAGGGATGTAAAAGACCTATACGAAGAAAACTACAAAATACTACTGCAAGAAACCCAAAGGGATCTACATAAATGGAAAAACATACCATGCTCAATACTGTGAAAATGACAATTTTACCCAAATCAATGTACAAATACAATGTAATCCTGATCCAAATACTGACAACGTTTTTTCAAAAGATGGAAAAAACAATCATTAACTTTATATGGAAAGGGAAGAAGCCCCAGATAAGAAAAGCACTGTTGAAAAAGAACAAAGCCGGAGTACTAGCATCACCTGACACCAGAACCTACTATACAGCTACAGGAGTCGAAACAGCCTGGTACTGGTACAACGACAGATACCTTGACCAATGGAAGAGAATCGAGAACCCAGATGTAAACCCATCCACCTACAGTCACCTGATCTCCGACAAGGGCCCAAAGACCATCAAACAGGGAAAAGACAGTCTTTTTAACAAACGGTGCTGGCAAAACTGGACGTCCATCTGCAAAAAAATGAAACAGGACCCATACCTCACACCATACACAAAAACTAATTAAAAATGGATCAAAGACTTAAATGTAACACCAAAAAGTATAAAGATCACAGAAGAAAAAACAAAATCAACACTAGAGACTCTAATACGCGGCATTAACAAGATACAAACCATAACTAACAACATACAAACTCCAGAAGATAAGCTAGATAACTGGGATCTTCTAAAAATTAAACACTTATAAAAAGACTTCACCAAAAGAGTAAAAAGAGGACCTAAAGACTGGGAAAAAATTTTTGGCTATGACAAATCTGACAAAGGTCTAATTGCTAAAATCTAATCCAACACCTTTACAACAAAAAGACAAATAATCCAATTAAAAAATGGGCAAAGGATATGAACAGACACTTCACCAAAGAAGACATCAGGCAGCTAACAGACACATGAAGTAATGTTCATGATCACTAGCCACTAGAGAAATGCAAATCAAAACCACAATGAGATACTATCTCACCTTGGCATTACTAGCACGAAATCAAAAAAATATAAAATAACAAATGTTGGGAGGTTGGGGGGAGACTGGAACTCTTATGCATTGCTGATGGGAATGCAAAATGGTATAACCATTTTGGAAAACGATATGGTGCTTCCTTAGAAAGCTAGAAATAGAAATACCATATGATTCAGCAATTCCACTCCTAAGACTATATCCTAGATAAATAAGAACAGACATTTGCACACCCATGTTCATTACAGCACTGCTCACAATAGCAAAAAGATGGAAACAACCTAGATGTCCATCAACAGATGAATGGATAAACTATTGTACATACACACAATGGAGTACTACACAACGATAAAGAACAATGATGAATCTACGAAGCATCTCACCAACACAGATGAATCTGGAAGGCATTACACTCAGTGAAATAAGTCAATCACAAAAGGACAAATACTGTATGAGATCACTACTACAAAAACTCATGAAAAGGTTTACACACAAAAACAAACAATCTTTGATGGTTAGGAGGGGAGGAGTGGGGTGGAAAAACACTAAACAGACAATAGGTGAGTGATAACTTTGGTGAAGGGTAAGAGTACACAATACTGAGGAATCCAGCACAACTTATTCAGGGTAAGGTCATGGAAGCTCCATGGACAAATCTAAACTCCCTGAGGGACCGACCCAATTACTGGGCTGAGGGCTGTGGGGACCACGGTCTCAGGGAACATCAAGCTCAATTGGCATAACATAGTTTATAAAGAAAATGCTCTACATTCTACGTTGTTGCGTAGCATCTGGGGTCTTAGAAGCCGGAGAGCAGTCATCTAAGATACTCTACTGGTCTCACACCTTCAGGAGCAAGGGAAAATGAAGAAAACTAAATACACAAGGGAAAGATTAGTCCAAAGGACTAACAGACCACAACTACCATGGCCTCCACCAGACTAAGTCCAGTACAACTAGATGATGCCTGGCTACCACTACTGACTGCTCTGACTGGGATCACAATACAGGGTCCTGGACAGAGCTGGAGAAAAATGTAGAAAAAAATTCTAACTCAAAAAAAAGACCAGACTTACTGGTCTGACAGAGACTAGAGAAACCCCGAGAGTATGGCCTCCAGACACCCCTTTAGCTCAGTAATGAAGTGACTCCTGAGGTTCACCTTTTAGCCAAACATTAGACAGGCCCATTGGACAAAACGAGACTAAAGGGGCACACCAGCACAGGGGCAAGGACTAGATGGCAGCAGAGGAGAGGAAAGCTGGTAATCGGGAACCTATGGTCAAGAAGGGAGAGTACTGACATGTCACGGGCTGTTAACCAATGTCATAAAACAATATGTATACTGTGTAATGAGAAGCTATTTGTTCTGTAAACCTTCAATTAAACTACAATAAAAAAATAAAGTAAAATAAAAAAAGAAACTGTGAATAGATGTATGATTGGTTGTGCTTGCTGCCACCAAAAACAAATAAAATATTTTAAAAAAAGAAAACAATGTCAAAATAAATAAAAACCTACATATTTCATATAGAAGGTGTGGTGAAATGAGTTCCTTTGTGTGGCCTTTTGCCTTAGTTCTTTGGAAAAACAGCCTGAGATTTTTCCTCTAGGCTCTGAGGAGTTACCTTTGCCCTAGAGGGTTTGTTCCTTTTGCCAGGTTGACTGACATTTCCAGGGTAAGCTGTAAACTACTTGGTTTGATATTTTTTGTCTGGTCCTGGGCTGCAGCCTGCCCTGCGACTGGTATGCATCTTGCAGGGACTGGTCAATGGATGATGAAAATGAGGTGAGTTGTATCCTACTATGCAAATGAAGTATCTGTGGCCTACCAAAAGGGGACTGGTCAATTTGTGACCCTGGTGGGAGTGCCATGCCTTGAAACAGACAAGGAGTTTGTGCATTTAAACAGCCAGCTCCAGATATTTTTGCAACAGGAAGCAGCAGAAAGAGAAGCAGAAGGAAGCAGCAGCAGAAAGGGAGAGCAAGGACAAGAAACCTCCTAAAAGAGCTGTAACACTGAAGACAGTGATAGGCCCAGAAGGGGCCCAGTGGCAGAGCTGGAGGTGACAGATGGCAGGGCCAAGAAGAGCTTGTCCTGAGGGGGCCCAGTGGAGGCCTGCACAGCCAAGAGGAACTAAGAGAGATCTTCTGCACCGAAGAAGGGTGACTTTGCCCTGATCCTGATCCAGAGTTGTACCCTGTTCCTTAATAAACCACTTAAATATAAGTATGGTCTGTGAATTCTGTGTGGCCACTGTAATGGGTTATCGAACCCAGAAGAAAAGTAGAGAGTGCCATGGGAGAGACAGCTGGTGTCAGAACTGATAAAAAGATTGCAAAGTGAAGGTATCGCTGACCTCCAACTCATGGGAATCAGCTTTGAGGTGATGGTGATTCTCATCATCCCCCATGAAGTTAGGTTCTGATGATGCTACTACTGCCACTACTACGTTTTACAGAAGGAAAAAAACATTGTCAAAAACCAGTCTGTGAAATTGAAAGTTTTTAAACAACAAACTCAGCTACACACAAATTCAAATACACAAGTTAGAAATTTTCTAAATTATCCATAATATATGAAGTAGGGTCAGATGGATATTTTCTGGAAGATAGTAAAAGTAACCAAAGTGTTTCTTTAGCAAACAGGTAAAATAGAAGAAAATCCACCCTCTTGGCTTTCAAAACTGAAAAACTGTCAAGAAATACTTTATTTATTCTGATGACTATTATTTAAATAGTCAAAAAATAAATAAGTTTTTAAAAAAATACCTCCTTTTCTCCCAATTCGACAATCCATAAACCTTTCTATTGTTTCAAATTCTTCCTCTTCAGGTTGAGGAACATCCTCTCCACAGACTTCCAGTAAGTCATCAGAATCTGTTTTCATTTCTTCATCTTCCTTATAGCTAACATTGACAGTTGCCTGGCGACGGGAACTTCTTTTGTCATTATCATAATCTTCTTCATCATCGTCATCCTCAGATGAATCAATCTGTCTCTTTTTTTGTCCAGAAATCTTCTTTCCAATTTTTGACTTTGTTCTAGGAAAGGAAGAGTAAAATACAGGTGTTTTACAGAAACACTGGCATAAAGCAAGATGTGAGAAAGTATATACAAAAAGAATGAATACCTCCTGTAATCAACAATTTTCAGCTTCAAATTGAGAATATACTATATTTACCTATTTTGAGGCTTTCTGCTTTTGACTTTGTTTTTTGGCTCATAATCAGATTCTGTTTCATCACAACTGCTTTTGTCTCTTTCTTCCTCAGATTCTGAATCTGAACCAGACTGAGATGGAGATCCTGACCCAGACATTTGCCAATCTTCACTGTATTTAAAAACAAATATAAATATAACCAAAAAACCAAACCCACTGCCACTGAGTCGAATCTGACTCATAAGGACCCTTTAGCACAGAGTAGAACTGTCCCATAGGGATAAAGGAGTGACTGGTGGATTTGAACTGCCCATCTTTTGGTTAGCAGCCAAGCTCTTTACCACTGCGCCACCAGGGCTCCATATGTATATATTTCCATTTATACTAAGTATTAAGTGTCTACACAATAAGAAAAACTCCAGAAAATACTTTTCACGGACTTCTCCCATAACTCCAGAGTGGTGTTAATCATTTAGTTTTACCTCAATGAATTGCAAATAAATGTTTTTGAGTTTCACTGTGGATGAAAACGTTATGCTAATTTAAAGAGTCACAGGGTTTTAATTTTTTAAATCTTCTATTATATTCACCCTCTTTAAAAAAAAAAGATTCTAATCTTTAATTTTCTGGGGAATATAATTTTTAAAAACACACCTTTAAAAATCGATTTTAAAAGTAGTACATGTTTATTCAGGGGAAAAAAAATACAGTATAGAAAAATGCAAAGATAATCTTTCCATCTCTACCAACATTCAATGACTGTCTACATTTATTACTTTAGTTTCTTTCATTCCTGATTATATGTAGGTAAAAAATACTGGATGTACATGTTAGTATTTTGCTGTAACATAAAGCTCGAAAGAGAAATGAAAAACTTTAAGTTCTTATATATACCATCTCTTGTTTTCACAGCTATTGCTTCTGCTCTAATTGCCCTGTATTTCTTATATCAAGTATCACTACCATTCGTGGTTTCATAAGGAAGCACATATGACTAAACCTGGTTTATAAAAAAACAACAGAGAAGCAAATTCCTTTTTATCTTGAGATCTTTTCAGGGTTTGTACACTGGAAGCAGCAAACGGAGCACCTATGAAAAAGTCTCCATTTTAATTATAACAAATTATATAATTATAATAATTTTAGTATCTGAACAAATCTATCCATCATCCCAAATTACTTGTTTTTTAAAAATATTCTTTCCTTGTATCAATGATAAATTTAGAAATTAATACCTCAGTAGAAGAGTTAAATAGCTGATGAGACACAGTAGTTGAAAATTTAGTGAACTAGAAGACAGATCTGAGGAAATTAACCAGAACGCAACGTAACAAAAAAGGGATAAAAAGCATGATACAGTAAGAGATATGGAGGATAGAATGGATGATCTAATAGTCACCTATTTAATAGGAGTGCCAGAAAGATACACAGAATAAGAAAAAATATTCAAAGGTACAATTAATCAATTTTCAGAAACTAAAAGATATGAATCTTCACATTAAAGATGAGTCCTGTGGGCTAAATAATAAATCCAAACCCAGATATCCCAAAATGAAAGTGTAGAATACAAAATACAAATAGAAAAATCAGAGACATGACAATGAAATAAAGTTTTTGAAGTCACAAGAAAAAAACAAAAATCAACAACAAAAACAGACCACCTAAGTGTATGAATTGAGAATGTGAAGAACTCTTAAACACCTTTTGTGTCCTGATCTTCAGGAAATTGTAGTAAATTTCTAAAGGGGTTCTAGAGATACTGCAAATTTCACATGCGGACGCACGATAAGGACAGCTATTAACATAAAGTGACAGAATCACTTAGCCATCCCTATAATCCTATTTCCTAAGTTATTAAGATATTCTGATAGAATAACTACATGGATCTTTAAAGTTTAAAAATACATAGGGTTGAGGAGATGATAGGAGATAAACAGGTGACATAAAAATTTCAGGTTGTCAAAGATACAGATAAATTAACCTAATAAGATGTCATAAACCAGGAATTTACAAAAGTCTACTTTTGGTAACAATTTTCATGAAGGAAGAAATACAAAAGAATTACAATTTTCCTGATATGAAAATAGTCACTCAAACAAAATGACATACTCTTTATGCTTTTTCCTTTTGACCTCACTTGATGAGTCATCAGAATCTTCACTGCTAGAGGAATCCTGCAGAGAAAAATAAAGTTAGTATCGTTAATGATTAGAATTTAACCATATCGAAGTTTTATTTGCTGAACTATTTAACATTCACTTTAACAATAATAGTAACTGTAATACTTCTTTTCTTCTTCAATTCTGTTATATTTATACCATTAATTAGCTCAGAGTAATTAATTTAATAACTTGTTTTATTGCACATTAAGATAGCTAGAGATTTTAGATTAAGTACTTTGTATAAAGCCTTGTGATCTACCATCTCTGAAACTATATTTGAAATCTACCATCTCTGAAACCAGGCGTCCTTGTTGATACGCCAAATTTTGAAATAATATTTTTCGTCCCCATTAAATAGTTTGTCATATAGTTCTTTCCTGAACGCTTTGATGCAAACATATGTGCATTTGTGTGTTTGTGTGCACAAAGTAACTACACTGTTGGCAGCTGCAGCCTATTCTTTAAAAAAAAAATTATATGTTGGTAATTCCGTTAATATTCTGTGCAAATGATTTAATGGTATAATATTCTTTCAATCATATATGTTTGTGCATATAGATGTGTATGTATGTATATCTCATGTCTATTATTTCCCTAATGTTTCCCATTTAGTTTATTTCTAGTTTTGCTGTGATGAGCAAATTACACACAAATTCCTCTCTGCTTACTTTAGATTAGCCCCTAAAAGTGGAATTATTGCATAAAAATGTGTCAGTATTTCAAGGTTCTCGATATATACATATTTAAGTATAGTTATTTCCTAGCTAGTCACTCAAAGCACTTGTTTTTAATAATTTCATAACTATTTAAATGATAAGGCATCATGTCTAATTTCAAAACAGTATCTCAGAGTCAAAACTGACCTCTTCCGATCCACTATTAGATGAAGCTTGATGTTGCTGCTGTTGTTGCTGCTGCTTCTTGAGCACTGCAGATCTCTGAACAGCCAGAATACTGGGACTAGATTTCCAAAACTATAATAGAAATATGAATCAATACTGAGAAAACCAAAAAAAGTTAATTTATTGAATAGAACTGCTCCAAATAATAAAGACTATTTTCCTTACTCATATATAATATCAGTGAAATATAATTAAAATAAAATGCTGAGTTTTCATTGTATATAAAAACATCTACAATGTGCTGAGCTTCACAGACATACAATATTAATCAATATTCTCTTTGGCATTAAGAGTATTATTCTGACAAAGTGATAATATGCTATACCAGTGCTACTCAAAGTATGGTTACTATTGTTTTAATCAGTGTGAGGTGGAGATGAAGACCTTGAGTCAAAATGAAAATCAATTACGTCACCAAGCACAGTGTTTTAGTTCAGCTGACTATTTTTTGGTAGCAAGATTTTTCTCCATGAAAGAATCAGTATGTCGATTTACATATTCTGGCCCAAGTGTCATATCTCACCATGGACTGGTACTCTGAGTAACACTAACCAGTTGCCGTCAAGTCAATTCCAATTCATGATGATCCCATGTGTGTCAGAGTAAAACTGTACTCCACAGGGTTTTCAATGGCTGAATTTTTGAAAGTAAATCGCCAGGACTTTCTTTTGAGGAGCCTCTGAGTAGACCTGAACATCCAGCCTTTTGGTTAGCAGCTGAGCACATTAACTGTATGCACCACCCTGGGACAACACTACCGTACACTATTATGAAGTATAAAAAAGTTTTAGTATATCCTATAGCAGCTTATTTAAAAGAAAATGGTCCTTAGCTTATTCTACCTAGCATCTGTGATGAAGCAGAGTTCCATTAAATTTTCCTGCTACTAACAAGAAGTATCTCCTCAGAAGATTTTGAAAGTAGAAATCATGTAAGATTAACAAATGGATATCACAAAGCCTTTAATTTTTATCTATGAAACTTTGAAAATTATGCAACTCAATTCTCAGAAAGAGGCAGAATGAGTTTTTTATATGTATGTATGTATGGAATTGACTCGATGGCAATAGGTTTGGTCTGGTTTTCGTATGTATGTATACACACACACATATTTTTTATATATTTGATGCTTTATAATTTCAGACTATATTCGCAGGCCAATTAATTCTGATATTTAACCACAATTTGAATGAGAATGGCTAAAAGTAAATTTTTAATGTTTAAAATGTTTTTCCTAGAAGTTAGCTCCAGAATGGTATAAAGAAATGCTATAAATTTTCCCGAAATAACACAAGAAACCTTTCATTGGCTATTTTATTTTTTACCTCAGCTCCATCAACTTTCGGTGGTTTTGCTTGAACTTTGTTTTCTCGGGAAGTGTCTGACTCAGACTCTGACTGACTGCCTGATTCAGATCCAGAGTCAGAGTCACTGCTACCTGACTGGCTACTGCTTCCATCACTACTGCTTCCAGAACTCGAACCAGATCCAGAGCCTGAAGCTGACCCAGAATCATCATCCGACTGGCTAAAATTTGAAAATAAACAAAATTCATTAGGAATTTAACTTTTCTTAAAAGTCAGAAGAAAGCTTCAAATCATTAAACCTTGTTTATTTCTTATTTCAACTCTGTCTATGGCCAAACAAATAGGAAAAGGAACCAATGTTAGTTAATCTATAGTAACAACTGACACAGCTGATAAATTTAATACAGTTTTGACTAACACGTAAGTAGTAAGATCACCATCTTCAAGACACTGAGCAAAATCTACCAAGTACAGGATCCTGGGCTAGAAACTTGGGAAGACAAAAGGTTTAAGCCATGGTCCCTACCCTTAAAAGGCTATTAAGCTATAGTAATTACAAACTAGAAATTGTGTCAAAAAGGGTTAAATGTGTTGAAAATTCTCACAGTACCAACTGAAAAAAAAGTTTGTAGTTTCTACTTGCTTTAATGTTTTTCTCTCTGTTCTTGCATTCCAGGAAAATGCAATTTATTATAATTAAGTTATCATAAATTATAATTTACTAAAAAGAAACCAGTAACACCACTTCTCTGGGAAAATCTTTAAACATCTCATGATTCCACAGCAATAAATCTAAAATAATAGCAGTTTCTCACAATCTTTCCTAACCTCTACACACATATGTAAAAGCAATTAACAGCTCATTGAGTAACTTTTTTTTCATTACTAATTCTCATTCCAGGTTAGTCTACAAATGGTATGGACTAAACAGTTGATTATGCAAATTAATATTATCCCCGAGGCCATCTGTTTATATGTTGTTTACTTTTGAATTGTTGAAAACTGAGGCATTAAATCTTCGGTATACATGGTATATGGCTTTTGATGTAAGTTCATTTGGCTTTATGAGAAACAATAGGTAATACAGTTTATGTATATATAGCAAAAACACAAGCTTCATGTCTTCTTGCTGTAATTTTCAGAAATGCCAGAAGATGGAGATATTATGCTGTGAAAATAGACTGCAAATTTAAAAGAAATTCTATTTTTCATTTTCCAGAGCAAGGAGTTAATAGTTTCTTTTTTTTTTTGCACCTGGGAACAAGGCAACAGTAAGTCTGAACTGTGTGGAAAAGGCTTATGTATGACAAGCAAGGTGGGGTCTCAGGGTTAGCTCGAGCTGAGGACTTACTGGTCAGTTTTAAACTTTCAAGCACCTTAGCGTGGGTAAAGGTTGAAGTTTTGATCATGAGCACCGATATGGGGCATGGCCAAGGGGGCAATGAGAATAAGAGTCACTGAGAGACTGGGTTATAAGCTAGTAACGGACTTTTATCACAGGAAACCATATGGGGCATGGCTAAATGAGCTAGTTAGAGATAACTGCTGATTGTGTGACAAGATAGGAATGGCAATGTCAGCAAGTGAGTAAAAGGGCAACTAGGAGGATGCCAAAGAGGAGTTAATAATTTCTGCATGGCAACACAGAAATAAAAGTTTGCTGGAAGACTTTTGATTCTCAAAGTTAGATATAAATTAAAACGCTTAGCTTAAGTAAGTGTCGACAAGCATATTTATGTTTTTAAATCAAGAAATCTAGTGTAATAAATGTTTTTCTACATAAAAAGTTTTAGTAAATAAAACTTTGCCTCTGAGAGTCTATGATACCAACATCGTCTTTGTCACTACTTATTTCTACCCTCTAGTCACATTGTTCTGAGATCCAAAAAGAACACTGTCGTTGATAGCTGCCATCAAATCAGCCCCCGACTCAAGGGAACCCCATGCACAATGGAACAAAACACTGCCTGGTCCTGGGCCATCCCCATGATCAGCTGCAGATCAGGTCACTGTGATCTACAGGGTTTTCATTAACTGTCAGAAGCAGTTCACCAGGTCTTTCTTCCTAGCCCATGTTAGTCTCGAAGCTCTGCTGAAACTGTTCAACACGTAAGCCTCCACTGGTAGAATGAGGTGCACTGGCCAGAAACCAAACTTGGGTCTCCCACACAGAAACTGAGAATTCTACCACTGAACCATCAATGCCTCATAAAAACAGCATAGTATTCTTCTAATTTTTTTTTTTAAACTTACTATGTTATACTTCAGGAACCCTGGTGGCTCAACGGTTAAATGCTTGGCTGCAAATCAAAAGGCTGGCAGCTTGAACCCACCCAGCAACTCCACAGGAGACCAAACCAAACCCATTGCCCTCAAGTCGATTCTGACTCATAGCAGGCCTGGCAATTTGCTTCTGTGAAGATTACAACCTAGAAAACTCTATGGGGCAGTTCTACTCTGTTGAATGGGGTCGCTAACAGCCAAAACTGACTCAACGGCATCTAACAACAAAATATTTTACTTAGGTCCCTTGAGAGAAATTTCAGCAAGAATATTTATCCTGACACACAATTTTATTTCTCCTTCAACCCACTAGGTAAAAAAAAAAATCTTTCATTTATTAAAAAAAAACATTACCGACTACTACCGTGGGTTAGGACCTGGGGAGACTGAGGTGAAAGACAACGACCCTGCCACTAAAGAAGTAACCTGGTATGGGGAGACAGTCATGTAAACCAATAAATACTATTCTGGACTATGTTTAAGATATTTGATCCAGGTGCTATGAGGAGCATTGAAAATACAATCAAATCTGATAGAGTAATCTGGGGACATTTAGAAGAAAGGGTGGTTGAACTAATTGTTTAAGAAAGAAGAGTTAAGCAGAGAGCGTCTCTTTAATTGACCAAAAGCTTCTTGAGGGCACCATATATTTTTTCCAGAGTTCCTGGCATAGTACCTTACACAAGTGAGTGTTCAATAAATAATTTTAAAGTAGATGGATGAACAATTAAATTTTGGGGACCATTATGGGCCTGTATTCTTCACTGTATCTTGATTAGTCATTCAAGATGGATCCAGTCAATCAACCAACAAGGTGCCGCTGAGTCAACTTAGACTCATGGCAACCCCACATTTGTCAGAGTAGATCTGTGCTCTATAGGGTTTTCAATGGCTGATTTTTCAGAAGTAGATCATCAGGTCTTTCTTCTGAGGTGCCTTTGGGTGGACTAGTAGCCCTGGTGGCATAATTGTTAAGCACTCGGCTGCTAACGGAAAGGCTGACAGTTAGAAGCCATCAGCTGTTCCACAGGAGAAAAGTGTGGCAGTTCTACTCTGTCCTGTAGGGTTGCTATGAGTCAGCATTTGACTTGATGGCAATAAGGCTGGACTGGGTGGACTCAAACCTCCAAGCTTTTGGTCAGAGGGGAGAGCACTAACCATTTGCACCATCCTAGGGCTACTCTAGGTAGACAGTCAAAATTGTTCAACGAATCAAACATTTTAAATGAAAGCAGGAATCATTCCTTTTACATTCTTTAGGCAGAGATCATTTTGATGGAGATCAGAGCAAACAGCCTGAGGCTAGGCTACTGGCAAAGGGGTATTACTGGAATGTTTTTATTTTGGGTATTAGAAATATAAATGGGGATGGATTATCCAATAGGCAAGGTAAGCATCTGTAGTGAACAATTTCACATTTTTTCACCACAACAAAGACTCTGCTTCTAAGTATGGCTGGCATCTGTCTCTTCAAACCCCACAGCACCTTCCACAAAGATGTGGTGAAACCCTTGTGAAATTGTTCACCATATATGATCTGGTAAGCAAGGTAAGCACCGTGCTTACTTTGTCTATTGGATAACTGTCCCTGATTATGAAGTGTTTATTTAGTCGTACTTTAACAGGACTAAACCAAAAAACCGATTGCCGTTGAGTCGATTCCAACTCACAGCAACCCTACAAGACAGAGTAGAACTCTCCCACAGTGTTTCCAAGGAGCAACTGGTGGATTCGAACTGCCAACCCTTTTTGGTCAGCAGCCTAACGCTATGCAAATAAGGAAGATCTCCATACACTGATTTTGAATGATCTCCAGAATGGAGTTAAGCGAAAAAAGCAAGATACAAAACAATATTTATGGTATGCTTCCTTTACGTAAGAAAGAAGGGGGAAATATTTATACATATTTGCTTATATTTTTTAAAAACGGCATAAATCAAGTAATTTTAAAACAGTCACCTACAGAGAGAATAGAGTGGAGAATAAAGATTGAAATGAGTCTTCAGTTTTGAAACAATGTAAATGTTCTGCATAATTTTAAATAAGATAAAAATCTTTAAAGTTGATAGAAAAATATATACAGGACCAGAAAAAACTATACTCAGACACAAAATTATGAGCTAAAATAAGTGAAAAGTCCCTCCTTAATAAACTAATTCTATTTCGGCCCACTGTGGCAAGCATTCTTTCTAAAATAAAAATCTGATCATGGTCTAACATTCTTATTTGTAGGTCTTCAGTCTTTCTGTAACAATGGTGTTGACCTACCAAGCCTTTCAAGAATCTGTCCCTGCTGTAACTCCCCAACCTATCTCCAGTCACTTTCCCACTAGAACCCCTAGTTCCGGCTATGGCAAACTATTTTTGATTCTCTGAAAGCCAGTTTTTCTTTCCACTTCCTGCTTTTGCATCATTCCTTCTCTTTCCACTATACAATTTCTACTTAAGCCTCACTTCATATCTACTCCTCCAACAAATCTTTCCCGACTATATCCCAACCCAATATTAAATTAGGTATCCTCCCTCAGCACTCCCAAAACATCCTGTATACACCATCTTGGCTGTAAGCAACCTTTAATAATGAGTTTTGTTGTTCAGTAGCCTACGTAAGGTCGTATGATCCTTGAGTGCTGGGATTTTGCCCTATTGTTCTTTGTATACATATAAATGACTCTGGATTTGAAGGGTGGATGGATGAATGAATCAACAAATCAAGATACATGTAAGTTCTTACATAAAAATCACAGACATATTTTGGCTATAAGAAAAATGTCTGAGCTCCAACTAACATTTTATTTATTTAAAGTAGTAACCAATAAATCCAGTTGTCATCAAGTGGATGCCAACTCATGGCAATCCCATGTGTGTTAGACTAGAACTGTGCTTCACACGATTTTCAATGGTTGACTTTTGGGAAGGAGACTGCCAGGCCTTTCT